GCATTTTACTTGATACCAGGGATTGCTTTTATGCAGGTGGTAATAGTGTAGCCGTAACAAATCTGTCTGTGCAGGGCATGTCAGGTGTGATTTGTTCCTGATGAAGTAAAGCAGAGGATAAAATGAGATAGCTAGAGATGCAGTTGTGACTCGTACTACAGAATTACAGCCTCCAACAACGGGAAATATCAAAAAAGGAGAATGGGTATTTGTAACATGGGAAAGAAAGGGGGCTGTCAGGGTGATACCATGCTTGGAACGAAGGATTCAGAATATGTTTTTCTGTGCATTAGGGAAAATTACAGAAACTATTTTTTATAGGAGCTTATAGCGAACATTTTGACAGAAAAATTGCAGATTGGGGTTTATATGTGAATGGTTCACATGGAAAATGCTGATGCATTACGAATGGCTTGTTTAATAATAGTGTGGCTGCAGTGCTCATCCCGAGGTGTAAGAACAGGTGCTTTTAGTTTAAAGAGGAGATGCTCTTCTGACGAAAGCTGTTGCTAAGAGGATTGCACTGCTACGTGTCTCAGATGAGCCGAGCTGGATGTGTGGGGGAGGAATATGTGAGACAAATATCCCTCAGGTTTCGGCAAACATAATGTGGAAGAATCACAGTGTAGAAGCATTTATTTTCCTCTCCCTGCTGTGTTTCCTCTCTCTTCTGGTCTCCTCTCCCAAGAGAATGATCCATGGATAAACATCTCAGCTGTATGAAGCAGCTTGGAGCCCATTTGATTGTAAACTGATTTTATTTCGTATTTTTTAATATGTATTAACGTTTGAAAGCCCCAAAATCCCTGTGTGACTCATACAGCATTACTTGGCACAATTCCTTTGAAATCAATACAATTGTCTGCATTACCTCAGTTTATAACTTCGGAGGCTGTACAAGCCTTGTGAGTACTTTTTCCTTAGAAACAAAAAGTTGTTGGAATTTATGCGATTACCGTTACCAGTTCCTTAAAAACTCAGTGATTTACACGTGTGCACACACCCACAAACACAATTTTCTCAAAAATAGTGTTAGGTTATTTAAGCGTATGGTGGATAGAGCCAAAACTCAAGCTGCCAGCTGGAAGCTAGTTGCCTCCTTTTAAGCCTTTCAGTCTCATCACCCAGGATAGTGTTATCTGCATTGCATGTGAAGGAAATAATTTGTCTCCTTGCTGTCAGTGTAAGATGTCAGTGGCCAGCTGCTGGCTAGACTTTTACTTTTTAAAAGGCTTTGTGACTCTCGGCTTTTTTTACTCCACACTTCGTGGTCATTTATTTCACCATTCTTTTACCTGCTCCTTCTCCTTAAGCAAATTTGTGTAATTCTGAAATGCTTCTTCAGAGGAAATCCCAAGGGAAACCTGGTGGTGGTACCAGCAGCATTCATGTGCCAGGTTGTTCCCGGTGCCCCCTTCCTTTTCAAAGCAAAGGGAGAAGAAACGTCTTGGGATGGAGGTGTGCAGAGCAGGGATTAGCCAGGGCACTGAGTTCACCAGCAGGTTCCAGCAGGGTGAGACAGTTCATGGATGGATTAGGATTGCCTCCCAGCCCTGGGCAGTAGAAATGCATTGGGTTAGTGTAATAGGATCACTTCGTCGTTCCCCCTGCATTATCTGGGGTTGTGCTAGGTCGTGGTATTTTGCAAAATGTGCAGAACAAAGAACGTGGATGCAGGCAATGAGGCACTGAGCTCCAGGGCTGTTCTCTTTGACTTCTGAGGAATTTTTCTCTGATTTTGGGTTTGGTTCAGGTTCAGATTTTCTTCTTTTCTATAATAGAGTGAACAAAAAGATCAAGTGACCTTTTGCTATAAAGGTCCTACCTACAGCACATTACATACCCATTAAGCATGTTACCCATCACATACCCATCACAGCACATTAAGAGCAGATGGAAAAGGGAACTCTCTTTCCTCTGGAGTCTGGAAAAAGAATTTCAGACTTTATAATCCATATATTTTGAGGATTATGCTTACTGAAGGGCTAATTTTGCCTGTTGTAACTCCCTTTTAATGCTTGAGAAATATGGATATATGTTTTCCTGTACAACTGCATCTACTTTAAAATAAAAAATTCTTAGAAATACTCCTTTTATTTATTTTAAATGAAATAATTTCTGGACCTGTAGCAGGAAATATTCAAAACTAAAACGTAGGTAGTTCTTACAGGAGATAAAACAGAGGGTAAGGAGAACAAATTCTTTTATTTTAAGTAAGAGCTTTCTGCAAAAATTTGAAGAAAATCTAGATGTGCATTTGGAGTACTGTTTGTATAAAGCAGTCCATAAGAGAGTTACTAGGGCAAAGTAGGAAAGATTGGCCTGACATACCCTAGTTCCAGGCTTCTATCAAGGTAGGAGAAATGTATGTTTTGATTACTTAGTGTGTACAGCCTTTCTGGTTACAATTTGTTCCCTACGCAGTTCCTGACCATTTATTTCTGGTGATATCTGCACTTTGTCCCTGTTGCACAGAAGCAACACCTGAAAAGCTTCCAGTTCAGAAATTTTCTTCTGTGTCTGTTGAAGTTCTTCAATACAGTTTTGCAGAGATAATTACTGATTTGATCTTTCTTCTTGAAAGTAATTTTGCTCCTGAGAATTGCTCTCATGTATTTAATTTATTTTTTCAATAATGAATACCTGTATAGTTTAGGGTGGTGTTTTTTTGCTTTTAAAATATCACCCCACTTTGATGATTATAGAGCTTTTATTTTATTTTTTTTTTAACTAATTTAAAAACTGTGCTTTTATCTCATGCTTTTACTGAAAAGCTGTTGTGCTTGCTTTATCAGGGCAGCAGATGTCTGCAGATGTCATTTGGTTATAGGTTGGTGCCTCTGTAACTCTGATGGAGGTTTCAGTCAGGTGTGGGCAATGTGTCTCCAAAATGCTGTTGCTTAAACTAGTGTAAGTCAAAAATGAAAGGCCTTTTCTGCTGTTTGTGTGTATTTATCTTTCCTGGCTCAAAACAGCCCTCTGAAGTAATGAGACAAACTAACTGCTAAGTTATAAACTGAAAATTTGGACTAAAGCAGAGTGGGATTTTATCAGCACTGTTTCAGTCTTCACTTTGAAGTGAGAAATTGCAACATGACTCAGCAGCGAATTTTATGATGGCAGAAGTAATCAATTTTATCCCATCTCGGGAAAATTTAATTCTGGGTCAGATTGTTGTTTACTCGCTAAAAATATATATATTTTTTCTTGCTGGAAAATGTTAGTGCCTACATCTAAGTACGAGACTGTAGCTCATAACAGAATTGCAGTTCTGCTAGTTTCAGCAGAAACTGAAGAATTACTTAATTTGCAGAGGAGGAGGAATGTTTCCACATCTTGTCTCGAATTCAGCTCATGGGTTTTGTATTCCCAGCCTGGTACAGCTGATATTCAACTTTGTACTGAAGATAACAGGAGGTAAACTTGTATCTTCTGTGCTGTTTCTCTCTCTAGAAGTCTGTTGTAATTACTCAAGGCTTCCACTGTGGTTTACAGGGTCCTCCCTCTAGGATATAACTGTTGTAGTTTCCCCTGGCAGAGTGGGAATTGTGTCCCAGTTTACGCCTACTCCAGCTAATGAGGTCTGTCTGCTAATCCCAGGTAGGAATTGCCACTTCGTGTCTTCCCAGGCGGCAATACGTGAGATCCAAGACACTGCTGAGAAATCCTGTGTTCTGCGCAGGCTAACAAATCCTGCCACCTTATTATTCTCAAGTGTGTGTCTTCTATATGAAAAATCGGATTGTTTCTTTCACGTTGTTATATATGCGTGTGTTTTTTCTCTCCCCCCTCCCTCTTTAGTGCCTTTTTTTTTTTTTTGCTGGTATTCTGTTCCCTCAGGACTTGCTAGATGTCAGTGTCTGATGGGAACAGCTAGTTCCTCTCAGGTGTCTGGGTTAGAGCTCAGCTGGGATCATTAATTAGTCTGGCAACGCTGTCAGGGCTGGAGCTGTTCCTGTGAGCTGGGCTAGAACTAAAAAGGTCTATCGATTCTTCCTTCACGTGTTTATATTAGAGTTATATGTTACACCTGGATGTTGTTTTCTTTAAGTATTTCTTGAAGTACTCTGGAGTGCATATTTCTAATATTTATTAAAGCATATTAAGCTTTCTTTCGTACATCTTGTGTTGTTCTTTGAGAAATGGTGGTTTCTTGTTAGGTAGTTAGTATGAGAATATAATTCGGGCAAGTACTGTGTTTCAGGTTCAGTTTCTAGCAATTATCAATCATTGAATGATTGCTGTGATGTTTAAAGGAAAACTAAGTGCTCTGCAGAGAAAACAGATAGCCAGCTATGTAAGAATGAAAGCAGGGGCTTGAAATAAGTGAGGCAAGATAAATAACAAATATCACAATTTCTGACCACTCGAGTTGAGCTAAAAACATCTTTTGCTAAGTGTTTTTGGAAGTCATAACAGGTCACAGAATCACAGAATTGTAGGGGTTGGAAGGGACCTCAAGACATCGTCAGCCCTTCTGAATTTATTAGCCAAATCCTTTTGTAATGGATTAAGTTCCTTAGTTTTCAGATGAACAAATTTTATTTATTAATTGTATTGGTTGGTGGTATTGTATTGCCCAGCCTTTGAGCGTTTAACTGTGTCATCATGCTCTTTAGAAACAGATGTGTTTTTTTTTTTTTTTTTTCTTGATAATTTTTTTCCTTACAAATGCATGAGTATGTCACTATAATACTGAGTAATGCCCAAGAGGTTGATTTTTTATTTTTTTTTTAAACCAGGTTCCTGTAATCTTGGTCGTGGGTATGTGTTGAAAATAGTTGCTGTTATTTTGTGAGAAGAAAAAATGATTCTCTTAATCTTACCTCAGTATAATGGAACTGACTACATGAAGTTTTTTTCTAAGTAGTTGTTTAAGCTGTGCTTCACTAGCATAGAAAATAGAAGCTAACAATAAGCTTTACCTGCAAAACAAATGTTTGACTATTATATAAATAATGTGATATTCTAATAAATATATATATTTTCTTCTTTAACAGGTATCTTTCAGATGAAGGAATCGAAGCTTGTATAAGTTCATCTGAAAAAGTCAATACAAATGACATTATCCTAGTTGCCCTTAATGTAAGTTATGATTGTGAACTTTTTTTCTGACAAATCGTGCTAAAAACAATATATCTAAAGGGTCAGGTATAAGTGTGTGAGGCTAATTAAATATACAGTTGTCTGTGTGATTTATGTAAAGGACAAGGTGCCTTCCTCCCTCCTGGCATATATGAATTATTTCTTAATTTTATGTGGATGTGACCTCTATTCCAAACTGTGAAACCTGGGGGGAGAAAAATGAACATACTTTGTAGTAGGAAAATATTTTTGTTTCAAATTTAAATCTGAAGTCAAAGTGCAAGCAATAATAAAATCAGGACTGCTATGTATGGACATGAGCATGAAATTACAGTGCAAGCTATTAGTTTGTTGGGATGAGTAAAACATCCTTAGTTTGACTTCTGGGCATGCTGTTCTTTAAAGCATGCGATGTGTACATTTTTATGTAACTACAAACAGTTGCTGGATTTACTGTAGAAATCTGGATTGGTCGTAATTATTTCTGCTGACAAGGAAATTCACAAATAAGTACTGCATTTCCAGCTTGTTTGATGGATAATCAAAATCACAATAAAACAAAAATGTTATGCCAGTGTTCAAAGCCAGTTTAATTGGTTATCAATGTTTTTTCATTGTCAGTTGTTTTGATGCCCAGAAGATTAAGTTGCCTGTTGGGTAAGTTAGGGAAAAGTGGTGTAGCTTGAAAGACAGGATAAAAGTGAGTTTAGATTCCATCTCTCAAAAACTGACACCTCTCATTAACTGTTAGAGTAATTTTGGACAAAAGAAACCAAGAAAGAAGCCAGTTTAGGTGTTTCTGTGAATTGCTGAAATAAGTATGAAATGGACATAAACATTCCTTCAGTTCTTCAAATGGTTTTATTTTGTATAAGATCTTGCAACAGACTTGAAGTGTTTTCTCCTTCCTGCTGCTGTGGTTGCAAAGCATCTTGCTGGAGACTTGTCAATTGTATGGATACGGAACATTGCAGAACAGTTTATAGAAGTTTGTGTGCTATTCAGAGATAAATAACTGACAGATGACAGATTGGTTTCATCATGTGGGCTCAGATTGAAAACCAAATGTGCTTTTTTATCGCTCTATGGCTGTGTTTTGCAATAGAAAACGATTTGAACATCTATCCACTCTTTTACTGTATTCACTCTGAATATCTGCAGAGCATCCCTACAATTATTCTTACTCTCTACAGGATGCCAGTGTTACTCAGCCAAAAAAAATGGAATGAAGCACTTGCTTGCAGCGTTTTACATGCTAAAATATAGTGCTACTCAGTTCTAGATACAGTAGTTCATTGGTATGTGTTAATGGCAAGTTAGTATAAGTTCTAGTAGCAATTCTGCTTACCCCTTCTTCTTTAGAAGGAAGCATTTGTGACCTGAATAAATAAGCAGGGTTTTAGCTTCAATATAGGAATCTGCAGCAGCATGTTGTTTTAAACAAAATTATTTCAAGCCAAGGAATTTAGAAAACATAAGTGTTTTAGTCTGCACTACTGTTTTGTTTTTTTTTTTTTGGTCTTTTTTAGTCTTAAGAAATATAAATGCACTATAGAATCATTAAGATTCATATAGAAGTGACCTCAAAGATAATCTGGTCCAACCATTCCCCTACCACCACTATCACCCACTAGAACGTGTCCCTAAGCACCACGTCCAACCTTTTCCTTAAACACCCCCCAGGGACAGTGATGCCACCACCTCCCTGGGCAACCTGTTCCAATGCCTGACTGCTTTCTCTAAGAAGAAATATGTCGTAATTTCCAACCTGAACCTCCCCTGGCACAACTTGAGGCCATTCTCTCTAGTCCTAACACTAGTTACCTGTGGGAAGAGGCCAACCCACAGCTCCCCACAGCTTCCTTTCAGGTAGTTGTAGAGAGCAATAAGGTCTCCCCTGAGCCTCCTTTTCTCCGTACTAAACAACCCCAGTTCCTTCAGCCTCTCTTTGTAGGACTTGTGTTACAGGCCCTTCACCAGTTTCATAGCCCTGCTCTGGATTTGCTCCAGGGCCTCAATGTACTGAGGGGCCCAAAAGTGAACACAGTAACCAAGCTGCGGCCTCACCAGAGCAGAGTGTAGGGGAATGATCACCTCCCTGGTCCTGCTGGCTACACCATTCCTGATACAAGCCAGGATGCCGTTGGCCTTCTTGGCCACCTGCGCACACTGCTGGCTCATGTTCAGGCAAGCATCAACCAACACCCCCATATCCTTTTCCTCTGCACAGCTTTTGAGCCACTCTGCACCAAGCCTGTAGCGTTGCATGGGGCTGTCGTGGCCAAAGTGCAGGACCCAGCACTTAGCCATGTTGAACCTCCTCCCATTGGCCTCTGCCCATTGATCCAACCTGTCCAGGTCCCTCTGCAAAAACTTGATGTGTAAAGTTTAATTAGTTTTTACTCCATTTCCTATTTTAACATGCTGCACACATAAGCCATCCAGGCTATCCTTTTGTCATGCATCATCCTGATTGATATGCTTGTCCAAACTGTGGTTAGGGGAAGGTGTTTTTGTAGAGATTTATTCCTTTGATCATATGAGTTCTTCAGTTAAATGCCATCAACAGCTGTTGCATAGTTGCTGAATAACGTCACGTAGCTGTTTACCTCACTTCCAAAAGAAATAATCAGGCAGACATTTAAGGTGAAAAGCATTTAATAGAAATGTGGTGTAGACTTTTACTCTAGGTTTAATTGCAGAAATGTTCTCAACCTTTTATGATGGATTTGTATGTGTAAAAACACAAAAATTAAAAATGCTTTTCTCTTAAGTGCCAGATGAAGAAGGAAGAAGTTTGCCTGTATTAAACATCAGAGTTGAGTCTAATAAATAAGCATTACTTAGTCATTTCTTTTCAACAGTTAAAAGCATTTTTAACTATCTTTGAAAATGTGTTGAAAATTAAGTAGTTGAATTTTTTTTTCCATCTTATATGGAGGGTTAGAGGTTAGAGGGACTTTTTTAATACTGTACAAGTGATTGGCAATATAGAAGAAATGCGCTTTTTGCTTTTTATAATACTTTTTTTTTTTAAATGGGATATTTTAGGTTAATATTCTCTTGTCTTCTCTGTTAATTTCAGACAGATTTAAGAACTATTGGCAAGAAATTCCTCCCCAGTGACATCAATGGTGGAAAGGTGGAAAAGGTAGACAATATTATTTCACTTCTTTTGTTGTGATTTCTGTGTGATGACAGACTGCTGCACTGCGTTAGTCTGTTTTTGTCATTATTCAACATACAAATGAAGCCAATATTTGAGTGCATTATACAATAAATATATTTACATTAGTTTGCTCGCTACGCTTTATAATTAAGACGTTTTACTTCTGAACTTTGAAATGCTTAAATAAACATGAATGATCCTAACAACTTCCTTTTTGCTCAGAAACAGTTGAACCTCTTTGATCTTGACGTAGTATCAAAAGTTTTTTTTTTTCTTCTTGTGAGTGCAGCAAAGCAGGTTAGGAATAAAGGAAAGTTGTATAATTATGATACACAATGATAAATGTTGATACTGTCTTCACAATATCCACAGATAAACACGATTAAGGTTATAAACTTTGTCATTTACCTGTGGTTGTACAGCTTATGGGTTATGTGGATAAACCATGTCAGATGATGCAATGCTTTATATTCCACAGGATAGTATTATATTCAAAGTTTAGATATGCCAGATTTTTGACATATACACTGTATGTTTAGATAAAAAAAAAATTGAATTTGACCTCATTGGTATGCCCTTCCTGTTTTCTTCCTTACATTCATTTAAGAGAGTGGATAAATGAAGGAGTTTTTATTTTAAAGCTAGTGGTAGTTCTCCATTCAAATCATTATCCCTAATTTCCCAGTATTGATGATCTGTATTTTTGATGTGAAGGTTCTTGAGAAACATATTTCATTACTGTTGAAATTCACTATAGCAATAAATCAAGGCAGCATTCTTTTGAGAAAGCAAGATTGATGAGAGAGGCTGTTTAAGAGCTGTTTGGATTTATTTCTGTTGATGCTATTGTCCAAATGGGGTGGTGACTGATACACCACAAGCTTCTGTAACAACAACAGGGGAACATCATTGTCAGCTATGAAAAGCCCACTTGAGAGATACCATGCTTGGGTGATAGTTCATAGTGGCTAGCCAGACAGCGGTCCATGCATGAAACCCATTATTTATTAAAACAACTTTCTGGAAGAAGTATTATTAATTTTATTTCTTACTATGTGGAACTGTTTTTGCAAGTGCTACTTCAAAATATTATTCTTTTTTTTTTTTTCCTTTTTCCCAAGGTGTTAGTTTATGATTAATTCTGATAGATTGTTTACCTTTATATGATTTGGAATAACGTACAGTTAAAGATATTTCAGCGCTTAAAGCTTTTTTTTTTCCACCTAGAAAAATTAAGAAAAAAAATCTAGGCTTTTTCTTATATCTGTGATTTGAATATTTTTCTTCCCCGTCAGCATTCTGTTTTTGAAGTATGGAAAACAAACAAAATACTTCTCGTCACCTGTTTTTACACTGTTCATTTCGCAGTTGCTTAATTGAGTATTACTGAATTTAGCTTAGGGATATGGTTTAGTGGGGACTGTTAGCGTTAGGTCAGAGGTTGGACTCGATGATCTTGAGGTCTCTTCCAACCTAGAAATTCTGTGATTCTGTGAATTCTGCACTTCAGATCATGTAGTATTGACAAAATCTAAACATATTTGGTTAAATACTTCAACGAGGTCAAGTGCAATGCTCTGTACCTGGGTCGAGTCAATCCCAGGTACAAATACATGTTGGGCGGGGAATGGATTGAGAGCAGCCCAGAGGAGAAAGACCTAGGTGTGTTGGTTGTTGAAGGGCCAGAGCAGGTGATATGTGCTTGCAGCCCAGAAAGCCGCTGCATCAAAAGAAGCGTGGCCAGCAGGTTGAGGGAGGTGATTGTCCCCCTCTGCTCTACTTCTATGAGACCCCTCCTAGGGTACTGGGTTCAGCTCTGGGACCCCCGGCATAAGAAGTACGTGGACATATTAGGTATGTCCTATAGGACATGGGGCTAGTAATGAGTCCAGGGGAGTCAAGAATGACAGTGGGGCTGGAGCACTTCAGTGAAGACAGGCTGAGGGAGTGAGTTGGGATTGTTCAACCTGGAGAAAAAAAGGCACCAGGGAGACCTTATAGCAGGCCTTCCAGTACCTGTAGGGGACCCATAAGAAAGATGGGCAAGGACTCTTTACTCTGAGGTTTTGTGATAGTACAAGGGGTAACAGTTTTAAGCTAGAAAAGGGCAAATTTAGTTAATGTGAGGGTAATTTTTTTTTTTTTTTTTACTATGAGGGTGGTGAGGCACTGGAATGGGTTGCTGAGAGAAGTTGTGGATGCCCCATCCCTGGAAGTGTTGAAGGCCAGGCTGGATGGGGCTTTGAGCAATCTGGTCTGGTGGGAGGAGTCCCTGTCCATGGCAAGGGGTTTGGAACTATATCTGTAAGGTGTCTTCCAATCCAAACCATTCTATGATGAATATAATTCTCCAAGTATTTTTGGGTGCATTATAATGCTTTTCATATTTAGTTTTGCTATTTTAGTTTCCAACTGAAACATACTTTCAGTTGGAAGTGATTTTTATAGTTTTTTTTTTGTTTGTTTGTTTTTGTTTTTTTTTCCAGAGGTTTGTTGGATTACTGTTGGGTTTCTTTAGAGGTAGTTGTTCAGCTTTTTACTTGAGAATATACTTAGTAACTTCTCCATTTTATTGCCAGTAGAGGCTATGGAACAGATCATCCTGAGTGCCATGATGCGGAACATACATGACAGCCAGGTGTTCAGGCCCAGGTTTATGAAAGGCAGGTCTTGCTTGATGTACATGATCTGCTTCTAGGGCAAGGTGACATGCTTAGTAGATGAGGAATAGGCTGTGGGTGTTGTTTGTCTAGGCTTTCCTAAAGGTTTGACACAGTTTCCCACAGCATCCTTCTGGAGGTGCTGGCTGCTCATGGCTTGGATGGTTGTACTTTTAACTGGGTAAAAAACTGTCTGGGTGGCCAGGCCCAAAGTGTTGTTGTGAATGGAATTAAATCCAGCTGGAGGCCAGTCACTAGCAGTTTCTCCAGAGCTCAGTACTGGGGCCAATTCTGCTTAGTATCTTTTTCAATGATCTGGACGAGGGGATCAAGTGCACTCTTAGTATAAGTTTACTGATAACACCAAGTTGGGTGGGAGTGCTGATTTGCTTGAGGGTAGGAGGGTATGGCACCTATGCAATTTAATTACTAACAGAAAACATAGGCTTGATATTAGTTTATTGTAAAATCATTTCTGTGGCTATTCAAGGTAGGCAATGTGTATGGTGTCTTGTAGTCATCGGACCAGTAAAAAAAGAATGTAAAGTTCATGTACCTATGTACATTGTCCAGAGCTCCAAATGTTGGATGGCACATTCATAAAAGGTCTCTTCACTTAATGTTGTTCGTTTAGAATTCCAGTGAGAAATACAAGAGTGAACTTCTTTAGATTAGCAGTTTTGACTAAACAAACAATTTTAAGTGTGTTGCAGACATAGGAAATATTGGAAATGTTTTTTGACCTTGTTTTTTGGAGTGCTTCAGATCGCAAAGTAAAAAGCAAGTCACTGCACTTAGATGACAACACTTAGAGTGCTGTTCTTGCAAAAGATGTTGGAAATTATGCATTTTTTGGTAGATTGTAGGAAAAACTTACAAGTGTGACCTTTATGCTTGGAGATGTTTTGTTGATTTGTGAAAAATTTATTATATTTTAAAAGAGGAGTGTGTGTGTGTTTGGGGAAGAATGGTTGGTGATTGATTTTATGTTGACTTACTGAGCTAGAGGATAAGCAACTAATGTGTAGCTCAACAGACTTTTAATTTAAGGTTATCCAGTATATGTTCAGAACTAAAATTGTCCACTGAAAAAGGAAAAGAGTGATAAAAGGGAAGTAATGATTAGGGAGAGTAATGATGTGATTTCAGTGATTTAAAATCCAGACTCACGGATTTCAGTATAAAAGAAGCTTTTAAATGAAATATTTAATAAAGAGGTAAATGATTTTATTTTTTTTTCCTAGCTTGATACTTTGCCTCCATTTTCAGTATGGATATTCTAACTTCTGTGGCAAAATAAGGAAGGTGTATGAAAGTTGTGATTACTGTGTCTAAGTAAGCAAAAGTTACGTGTATAAAATGTGAAATCACATATTTGGGGACTGACAGTCCTGCTGTAGGCTTAGAACTCCCTCATTTGGGAGTCAATGCAGAGGAGAGAAACTTGGTTATAGAAGTTGCTGTAAACAGTGCAATGCGGCTGCGAAAAGGAAAGTGGAATAAAGATGTGTTCTGAGACACATCTGGGAAGACATTGCAGAGGTTTTGTTGCAGCTGACGATTGTATAATTTTGGTCATTGTTTTTGAGAAAGGTAAAATTGAGATACTGCGGGTACAAGGGAGTATTACTAGGATAAGTGGGAAGTGGAAAGGAAGGTATGTTTCCATGCAGCAAACTTGGAATCAGGGAGGAGGTACAGAGTTTGTAAGCATATCAGAAAGAAGGAAGTAATAAAAGAGGAGTAAGATTAGTTTAAATTGGAAGAGAATTTTTGGTGGAGAAATTGATTTAAACTAGTCAAGAAATCTAGATTAAAAACTGAAAAAAAAAGATGCTTAATAATCAGTGCAATAATATTCTGGAACATCTTTTCCCTGTAGCAGTTTTTAAGTTTTTTTTTTTTTTTTAATGCATCTGTCATTGTTGTTAGTGAATAGAGCTTGATATATTTCTGCAGGGGGTTGTCTTACTGTTGATGGGGATGGAAGACTGGATAGTAGGATTGTGTGCTGCAGGAATCCAATCCAATCCAAATTTTTTAAAATTCAAGTTTGCTTGATTCAAGGCACTTCTATTTCCCATATAGTCAGGTAATTGAGAGAAATCAGTGTATATCTATTCCTTTCATTTTCAGTCATAAAGAGTGAAAATACAAACGGGGAAAAAGTTTTTTTTTTTTTTTTTTTTTTTTTTTTTTTTTTTTTTGTAGATAACTCCTGGCAACGGTGATGCGGGTTTTGAGAAGCCAGAGAAAATGGGATGAAGGAAAATTGTGGCGCACATTCATTTTTGTTTTGTTATTTCTTAAATTCCAAACTTG